TTGGAACCAACACCGTCAACAACTGGAGTAATTTAACGCTACAGCATCAAATCAGGTGGCTACAATCAACCCAGTATGTGTTCTTTCTGCCACATGCACATCCCATTACCATCACTACTATTTGCTGGATATACGTAAAGGAAGTTCTTTGTAAATACAAAAGGAAAAGCAACCACATAAATAATTAAGACAGCTTTCAAATGACAGTTGAAAGCTAATATGAAGTACACTGGAAAATACTGATCAACCAACTAAATGCATATCTATTAAAATGTAGGAGTCCAGACATAAAAAGCCAGGAAAACAATTCATTGTGATTCCACTTAAATCATGTTGGTAAACATCCTCCTCACATCCCTCCTCCCACTCAGACACTTGTTGAGGATAAGAAAAGCAAGCTTCACTATGCTCTCCATATATACATAAGAAATTATTATCTTCATCACTGTTATTAGTCCAAATAACTAGCATTTAGTTGACCACTTAATTTTGCTCCACCATATGTTAATATTTTATCTACACATAGTCATTGTGTTTACCACAAACCACCTATGTCTTGAAACTGACACATAATCTGCATTTTATAGAGGAAGAAGCTGAAATTTCCAGGAGTTAAGAAACTTTCCCAAGGTCATAGTGTGTATCTGTTTCTAATCTTTGTCAACATACTACAGATTTGTTTTTATTTTTTATTATTGTGTATGCATGTGTACCTGTATGTGAGTTTGTGCATGTGAGTGCAGGTACCCACATATGTCAAAAAAGGGCATTGGAATACCTGAAGATGTAGCTATTGGCAACTGTGAGTTGCCCAATGTAGGTAAGTGCTGAGACACAAACTTGAGTCTCACACACACACACACAAGAGCAGTACACACTCTTAATCACTCTCCAGCTGTATAGTATATTTTTATAACAATGATAGTTAGCCAGGAATGGGTCACACCATTCCTAGAAAGCATCTGGATATGTGCAAAGATGTCTTGGGTTGTCATGAGAAATAAGGTCTATTGTATTCACTGTGGTCCTTAGTAAGTTCAACATCATACCATCTCTGGGCGCTGAAAAGACCCAGTGTTGGATCTGGTGGTGCATATACCAGTAATCTCACCACTTGAGGGAATAAAACAGAGATGTCATAGAGAACACATTACAGATTGAGAGCCTGTCAAAGAACGAGGAGGAGATAAAAAGGAGGAGGAAGGAGAGGAGAACAGTAGTGGGGGAGAAGGAAGAGGAAGAGGGATATGGCTATGTCGATGTCAAGGAATTGCTTTCTCTAAATATGACTGGTCCTGAAACAAACCATTTGAGTGTCACCAAAGGATTGAAAGCAAAGACTGCAAGTTAAGGATGTGACACTCAGATAAGCTGATCTTCAAGGCAGATGGCATAAACAAGGCCCTGTCTCTGAGCAAATGGGTTATGTGACTCTGGGTACTATCCTTCTCTGACAGAGCTGCCCCTTAGCTCCTCTACGAAAGGGAGAAGACTGGATTTTGTTTGTTTGGTTGGTTGGTTGGTTTTTTTTTGTTGTTGTTGTTGTTGTTGTAGTAATGGACCATTCCTTCATAGAGTACATGACAGGAATTCCATGAATGAGGCCTATCAACTGCCCCAACACTGTGAATTGAGAAAAAAATCATTCTACTGGCTAAGCATTGGGAACATGGCGATCCTGGAAGGTACACTGGAACTTGGAAGAGAAAGCCTAGGTTGGGGGGAACAAGCTGAGTGGATAAAGAAACCAACTCCATCTCCAGAAATGAGCTAAAGATGCCCACAGAGCCTTGGCACTTGAGAATCAATGCAGAGCCAAAAGTACCCAGGGACTCTTGAATGAGCTCTTGCTGCAACAAAAAACCCTGGACTACTCCGAGAACCTCCCACAGGGTGGCAATATGTCTCAGTACACTCCCAGTGAAGTACAGATATGGTCCATCCACGGTAAAGTATGAACACACTCAAGCTGGCTCAAAGACGGAAAACCTGCAGTGGATCAAATTGACCTTGACAATCCTTACTGAAATGCCAGATGTAGCCCTGTGTAGAGATATGAGAAAAGGAAGGGCCTGAAGAAAATCAGACAAGCAAGGACAGTGGTAAGCATGTGAGGAAAGTATGGTGGCCAAACATAAGCAAAGAGACCAGTAATAGGTCTCTACACTGCAGGGAACAAGGCAGTGACAGCAAATACAGCAAATGGTAACCATGGTTTTAGGTGCTAAATCTGGGCTTCTGCAATCACCATCTTCAGAGAGTGAGGAATACACAGGAAAAATTGTATCAGTGAGGTATAATGAAATGGTTGATTTCAACCATTTCAAACTCTCCATGATGCAATTTCAATGTTTGAAACCACATGGGAGACATTAGTTTCTTGTTCCCAGGTCCTTAACTTGAATGTTTTGGGGTAATCATTCCTCTAGGATTTCTACTCCATATCAAAGAACTGTTTGGTGAAACAACATAGTGATAATTCCCATCATCTGAAGCTGCCTCACAGGGACAGAGTTATGGCCTAACATGGAAGAAATAGAGAGTAAATTCTGGGTCTCCGAGATCATATCACTAAATCTTCTTCATTAAAGATGTACCAGATATATTAAGAGAATTGTCGAAGGGCCTACAGCTCATTATGGTAGATCAGGAATTTCTGCCTCTATGTATCAAACAGTAGTGGAATCAAGACAAGTGTGGTGATTTATGCCTATAATTCCAGAACGCAAGAGACAGAGTCAGGGTGACTACTGTGAGTTCGAAGCTAGCCTGAGCTATACCATGAGACCCTGACCTGAAAAAAAGGAGAGAGGGATGGCAACAGAGATAGCTGATAGCTAAGATGGAGAGACATAGATAGCTGATAGATCAAAGAGAGTTACATGACAGATAGATGATAGTTAGATGATGGATGGATTGATGGATGGATGGATGGATAGATAGATAGATAGATAGATAGATAGATAGATAGATAGATAGATGATTGATAGATAGATTATAGTTAGATAAATGATAGATCATATAGATGATACAGAATTGATAGATGAGAGATAGATGATGGATATAAATAGATGATAAACAGATAATACATGGATAGATGAAAATGGAGGATAGACAAATATAAGATATCAAAATGGGATAGATCAATCTGCTCCCATGTAATCTAAGAAAAAGATCAATTTAAAGATGAAAAGCAATTTCATTTTGGTTTTCCCTTCTGAGACCAGCTTCAACATTAATATCCTTGTACAGTACGCTAACTGCAGAATCACTGAAGTCACTGGAATTGTACTATTCCAATTTGAAACACAGAGAATTCAAGCCAACAAAATCTGAGATGGTGGCCATCTCTGAGACACCATTTAAACTCTTCTACATTATCAACAGGAATGGAGAATGCAGCAACACCTAGGCCACTGAAATTTTAACTTCACATGTAGCCTAGTGAATCTAGGGGCTTGTTGCTAAGATTCACTCCCTCTGGGGTAAGCTGATGGACTTAAATACTGAAAAAAGTTCACATACGTTAGACCTAGTTTCACATGAAAGTATGAGAAAGTCTGATGCAGAAGACAGAGTGGCACTGTATTGCCTGTAATAGCACAAGGATGCTAACAACCTCATGCACCACAAATGGTTAACTTAACAATTAAGCACATGCTGGAATAGTATGCAACCATTAAAGAGAATGATTTGCAGTGTTACCCTCAAAGGGCTCATGTATTGAAGGCTTATTCTCTGAGGCAGCAATGTTCATATATGTGAAGCTTAGGGGGACAAGACTAGATCACAGATTCTGACCTCATGGATGGATGCAGAACCTGATGGTACTGTTGGCAGGTACTGGAAACTAGGAGGGGGAGCCTAGTGGATGAAACAGATCTCTAGGACACATGAGGTGTCCTAGAGAGATACATTTAAACCCCAATCAATCAATCAATCAATTAATCAATCAACCAATCAATAAATTCCCCATCCCCCAGTCATAGCACTCCTTTCTTCCCTCCCTCCTTCTGGCATGCTTTTCTTCCTCATGCCTTCTCCCGTGATGGCTTTTCTCCTCACCAGTCTAAAAGCAAAGCAGTCAGTCAACTCTAAGCTGAAACCTGAGCCAAAACAAATGCTCTCTCCTCCTGAGCTGTTTTTGCCAGGAATTGTACCCCAGTGAGCAAAGCCCTAGCCCAAAGTCTATTTAGACGCACCACAGAAAGATCTTGTGGTGTATGAAGTGAGACAATCAAAGCACAGAACAGCGTGTGCACGTGTTTGCTTATATTTGAAACCTTTTTCTAGAAGGGAGCACAAAAAATAGTTAAGAATGTTTACCTTTCAAGGACCCAGGAGGACTTTGACTTTTTCTTTTTTTCCCTTCTCATTCTGCAGGAAAAGAAGACTCATCTAGGTATTACCATCTTTCTCCCTTGTGAGTCTCTGACAGCCCTTGAATTCTATGGGTAGGCCTATCTTCTGTGTCACTGCCCTGCTGTCCATACAGCTTATCTCCTAACTCATGGAGGCAAAGAGGACCCATAGGGAAGAAGGGGCTCAGCAGGAGGAGGAGGGATTAGAAAGGGTAATAGGGGAACAAAAGTGACTAACATGCACAATATACATGTATGAAACTGTGAAAAATGAAATAAATGACAGACAGACAACTGCAAAAGTAGAAAAACAATGTCATATGAGCACACACACTTCCCAGCTGCATTCATGGGCATTGGCTGTGTTTTATTTCTCTTAATAAAAGATTTAAATAAGTAAACATTCTCAAATCTCTGAGTAATAAAGCCGATGACACTGACAGTGAACTATAAACAAACGCATGGGTAATAACTGTCTCACTCATCCTTTTCTTCATGAAGTAAACAATGTGAAGATGACTTTAAAAACAAAGACATTACTCCAAGAGCAATAAAATTCATGCACTGCACTTAAACCTCTGTGTGCTCAGCCTGGTGTACACATTTGATGATTAAAACACAAATCAGCCAAGCACTTACCCATTCTTCCAGAATGCGGGATACTGCCTCACTGGCTCTGCTCATGTTCCTACAGGCCAGGATCACATGTGCACCATGGAGGGCAAAGGATTTGGCGGTTTCGAACCCTGTGGTTAAAAGAAAAAGTCCACATTAGCAACAATGCTAGTGCCAACATGTAAGTCATAAAGGGCCATTAGTGGACACCACTGACAAAACTAAGTGGTTCCTAACCAGAGGTGATTCTGTGCCCCAGGAGACAGGGGACAGGGCACATGGGACAGGTCAGGAGATACGCTCAATGGGTGAAACTGTGCTTTAATGTTATAGTGTTAGTGGCTTTAATGATATAATAGGTAAAATATCTTACTTCAGACCAGTGGTTCTCCACCTTCCTAATGCTGAGACCCTTTAATACAGTTCCCTATGTTAACCCCACAACCATAACATTATTTTCATTGCGACTTCATAACTGTAATTTTGCTACTGTTATAAACTGTAATATAAATATCTCTGTTTTATGATGATCTTAGATGATGCCTGTAAAGGGGGCATTTGAATACCACCCCCCTAAAGGTCATGACCCACTGGTTGAGAATCACCCACAGCAGAGCCCTGTTGACAAAGCAGGTCAACAGACGTGAAATAGCTAGCCCAGCAAATACAGCAATTTCAAGGTGAAGACCCAGTTCAAGAAGAGTTCAGGCCACAGCCAGTCGCTTCACTGCCAACCATGACTGACTAGACTATGGTGAGAAGCCCCCGTGCTCTGCTGTGATGAGTGTTTCCAGAACTTACAAATCAATTGTGGCTGTCTATGTGTCCTAGGCCCTCCCGCTTACCTTCCTGGTGAGAGCAACTAGAAAACCAGCAGAATGATCATATATATACAGATAGATGATAGATAGATGGATAGGTAGATAGACAGATAGATACACATATACACGTATATATACATATGTGAAGGCATGTGCACATGTGACTGGTGTGCATATGTGCATGCACACACATACATAGAGGTATCCACATACACATCCTCTGAAATCGTCAGAGAAAGTGATATAAATGAGTTGTTCTGGTTGACCCAGAAAGACAAATATGGTAAGTGCTTACTCATAAGTGGATAATAGATGTAAAATAAAGGATAACCAGGCTACAATCCTTAGCCCCAGAGAAGCTAGGTAACAAGGAGGTACAACTGAGAATTCCAGAGGCCAAGATATGGAAAGATGAGGCAGCAAAAAGCAGGAATATGGTGTGTTACTCAAGTCCTATTATAGTTCAATGGCAGTAGATGAGAGACAGAAGACAGGCTGAGCTTGTGGTACCCTTACAGACAGAGAAAGATATAAAAGTAAGCCCAGGGTCCACAAGGAAGGGTGGTAGTACATACATACCAGAGCTACTGCCTCACAGGAGAACCAGAGACAGGCCTGCCTTTCAGGAAGCTCAGCCTCAGGCACTTCAGTTTCTGACTGGATTAAAGTGGCCTGTCCCTATCTAACTGAAAAGTAAAGGAAAATAACATGCTCTAGAGAGGAAGAATCCACCATCCAGACTCTCAGTTATCCCTCCAATTATTTCACATTCTCATTCTCTGGAATGAGAACCTAAAATAGTAAGACACACAGAGGCCACGATGTTACCAAAGCCCAAAAGAGAGAAAAGCAGAAGCAAATGCACAAATGATCACTAAGGACGGTATCAGAAATGGTGGCTGGAAGCACTATGGTTAAGATTTCCAGGACAGGGAAACTAGAAAGAGCAGTAGAAAGCACTTGCTGCTCTCCCAAAGGACTGAGTTCAGTTCCCAGCATCCACATCAGAAGGTTCAGACACTTGTGACTCCGGGCCCAAGGGATCTGATGTCCTCTTCTGGCTTCTATGTGCAACTGTATGTACTCAAGTGAACAAATCCACACTCACACAATACATAAACATAATGTAAAAGTATATAAATGGGGTCTGAAGAGATGGCCCAGGAGTTAACAGCACTGGCTGCCCTCCCTTCCAGGGACCCCAGATTCAGTGCCTAGCACCCACATGGCAGCTCACAACCATCTCTAACAGGTTCAAGGGACCTGATGGTCTCTGCTGGTCTCCATGGGCACTAGGCACATATGTGGTATGCATACATACATTCAGGCAAGATACTCATACACATAAAATAAAAATAAATAAATCTTTATGTCCTAAGCAAAAATAAATAAATCTTTAAAATATAAATAAATGAAATCTCTGTAAATTGCAATAGTGGTTTCATCTCCAAACCCATCCAATCATATACAAATGCATGTTCAGATTTTGTATAGTGTTTTCCTAAATTTTAAAATATTTTTAAAAAATTAAAAGGACTACAGATCCCATAAACCGTAAAACGATTTTTTGAAATGTTCCAACTACTTTAGGATAATAAATTTTTAAGATTAGGTTTTAAAAGGCAAACTTCTATGAAAGCACTACTGAAAAAATATCATAAGGATAAACTAGAAAATTGAAAGAGTCTACATGGTATAAAAAAATTGAATCCATATCTCAAAATCATCTAAAAAAGATAGCAAAGGATGGAGAAACACAAAGAGAGACAGGGAAGAGTCAATCTAGTTCTAGAGTCAAATGCCCAGACATTGCTCTAAACAGCAAAATGATAGATATTTTATAGACATGGTTTGTTAATACAAATGTTCATGCACATATGTGCACACGTGTGTTGCACACTGAGGCCATCAGATCCCATGAATCTGGAGTTACCTGTGGTTGGAGCCACCCAACAAGAATTCTGGGGGAGTGAACCATAGTCCTCTGGAAGAGTAAGAAGCCCTCTTAACCACTGAAGACATCTCTACAGGCCCAATATCACATTTTTTTAAGATACAATGAATTTAAACTAATAGTTGCTTTAAAAAAAAGTCTACATGTCTCATTCTAATAATTATTACATGAATATGTGTGCATGTGCTGGGCATCAAAGAATGTTTCATTCTATTATTGGTGTGTGTGTGTGTGAATATGCATGTATGTGGCTATCAGAGAATATTTTATTCTATTTATTATTGCTGCATAAATGGGGTGTAGTACACATGCACATATGTGGACATCAGAGAACAGATTTCAGAACTCAGTTCTCTACTTCCACTGTGGGCTTCAAGGATCAAACTTCAGTTCTGAGGCTAAACTCAGGTTTGCACAACAAGCACTTCTACCCACTGAGCCATCTTACCAGCATCCAAAATGCCACATCTTCGAAGCTATGGTAGATGAAACACTACAACCTACATGAAGGCAGCACAAAGGAACCAATAACACCCTAGGACCTGATGTACCCACAAGATCTTGTAGAAAATGGCAAAACCTCTATCACTCCTAAATCTTCATGTCAATGCAATGACCAGAAATATTTTAATCATATTTAAATTAAATGGTATTAAAATACAAATCATGGAAGATGGCAAACACAGTTCCCAGACATTCCTTGGAAACCATTTTGTTTTGTTTGTGACAAGATCTTGCTATGTATCCTAGGATGGCTTGTAACTCACTTATAGCCCATGCTGGCCTCAAACTCCAATTCACTGAGCTCTATACCCTGAGTTTTGGGATTGCAGGTGTGTGCCACACCAAAACAACTGTATTATTTAAGGATGCAAGGCCAGGCAGGTATTATCGCTGTATTTGGCTTTCCAGGTTAGCAGTAAATAACTGTCTCTGTCTAGTCATCTCTGCATCCCAGAAGGAAGGCTGATACAGACTGCTAAGGGGCCACAATGCTGTGCAGCTTTGAAATAATCCACCTTGTTTTGAAGAGCAACCTAGATGAATGGGTAACTGGCTTTTTAATAAAGACTAAATATTAAAATCCTATTAAGAATACTACTAACTACAGTTTAGAATAGCACTGCTTAGAAATCTACAGGGAGAAAACATAGCCTTTTCCATCACCTTTTATTCTCCCAAGCAAACCTAGTAAGTCAGGATACCTCACCGGACAAAATGACCTACTGCATTGGACCCTGTATTACTGAAAGCTGGGCATCCAGTGTGATGGCAGCAACAGGCTGCTGAGGTAAGCGTGTACCTTCTCTCCCTCAGATATGTCTTGACTGGAACTACAGCTAAGCCATCTGTCTCTGTGTCTCGTAAAGCTATTCTCTGGACCTTACATCTCCCTTTATCTAAACAGAGCTGTACACACAGCTAGTCGACTTGTCAAAGCTACTGCCGACAAGTCCATTTTCTAATCCTTTACAACCGCCTTTGGAGCAAAAACAAAGCAGGAGATATTTCAAAAGATGATGGTTTAACAGCAAGGACAATAACACGTTTATAGCAAACCACATCTCCAGAGTATGGAGTTTTATAAATTAAAAAAAAAGTTTAATAACATTACCTACTGCTAAGTCCTGGGTAAAGCCCATGAGGACAGCATCCCTCATGCTCGTAACACTGCGGCTGATGGCCAGCTTAATTAGCTAAATGTAGTAGTGCTAAGCCAATCCTGCATGGTGCCAAAGTTGGTGCAAAATAATGAAGGCAATGGTTTACTAAATTTAATAACCTGATTCATCTTATAAAAAATTAACTTCATGACAATGTTTAAATTGCAGCAGCTTAACCGTGAGGAGATGGCCAGTGGGTGCAGGAGAATATTTAACGCTAATAATATGAAGAGAATAAATAACGGAAGGCATTTTTAAACAATGGGCAGCAAGGTCTCCTAGCATCTGCAGTAGGGGATCTGGTCAGGAGAGCTAAGTGGCCATGGGGGTTTAATACCTCATGGTTTCAGGTTTTAAGTTTTAAATACAAATATCTAAGATGGAAAATGTATTCCCAAAACTAAACGCCCCCTTACCTTATCCTAGTTTTCATTCTCTGGGATAGAAATTACAAAATGGCTAATTACAGAACAAATCAAGTGCCCAAACAGTTCTATTTGCCTCATTGTCTTCAGCCACCCTTTCCATCCTCTTGTTCCTCCCCTCCCCCAATATCTCCCCCTTTCTCTCTCACTGCCCCCCACATTAGTCCTTCTTTCATTCCTAACTGAATTAGCTGCAGGATCAAGCATTTCTGAAGGAGCCTATGATGAGAGCACTGAAGCTATAATAGCCTCGATGACAGCAATTGA